AGCAGTTCAATCGTGTAAAATGTCCACAACCATTGGGACACTCTGTACATACTTTATTTATGTAGTTTCATTTATGTTTCTGGTTTTGTATATGTTCTTATGTCAGTTTATATCTCTAATTACTATTCGGTATTACTACGTGACAACCTGTAGACCAGACCACAACTTGCAAACATGCATTTACATGGCGAATCCCCCTATAATCAATCTAGTGCTTAGTATTCAGCATAACACGACTCCTACTGCTAATGGCTAACTCAATGCAGTTATTCTCCCTCAATGTCAAAGGCCTCAATAGCCCCCATAAGCGCAGACTGGCAGCGCAAGAAATGCGCTCGTCCAAAGCGGCGATAGCCTGCTTGCAGGAAACCCACTTTTGCAGACGAAACCCACCAAAATTCTCTGTGAAACAATACTCACAGGCCTTTCATGCATTCTCCCCAACAAAATCGAGAGGGGTCTCTATATTTTTCCATGATGATTGGGCATTTACGATGCGCACACAACACGCAAACAGGGATGGCCGGCTACTTATACTAGTGGGCTCTCTAAATGGCATAGAGATCACGATAGCCTCACTCTACGCTCCCAATGTAGATAAAAAATCCTTTCTAACCTCAGCTTTCAAAAAGCTGCACAGATACAAACAAGGGCACGTGATTCTATGTGGGGACTTTAACTGCACAGCTGACCCGTACATAGACATGAAACGAACTGAGAATAAAATTCCCAAGAGGCCATCTATCTTACTAGGTCGACACCTCACTAATCTTCTCCTAATGCATGACTTGTATGACTCGTGGAGATGCCTATACCCTGCGGAGAGGGACTACACATATTATTCCCCAGTCCACATGACCTACTCCAGGATAGATCTATGTCTCAGTGACAAAAACACCTTAACACATCTCACGAACGTTTCCATAGGCCCAATAACGTGGTCGGACCACGCGCCGCTTACGATTGCGCTCCACGTCCCGTACCCGGCTCGTGGCAGAGGCACGTGGCGTTTAAACGAAGCCCTGCTAAACGTCCCAGAAAACTCCAAACATATAGGAAAACAGATCACTGAATTCTTTAACGACCACACATCCTGCACAACACCCATACCGACTCAATGGGTAACACACAAGGTGGTTATGAGAGGGGCGCTCATCCAATTGGGGGCCAATAGTAAAAGACGGGCTTGCACGCAGAAAGCAGAGCTGCTGAGTGCACTTACTAATCTAGAAGCTACACACAAACAGAACCCCAAAAAGCATACCCAAAAACAATTGGAACAAATACGGTTACAATTACATGCATTAGCCCTAAACACCACTGAAAAGCATATGCGCTACCTCAAGCAAACCCATTATATAGGAGGTAATAAAGCAGGGAAAATGCTAGCTAGAAGACTAAAGAAGAGGCATCAATCCACCAAACTCCCATACATTATATCCACGAAAGGGGACAAGTTATATAACCCTCAAGATATGGTAGAGGAACTAGCCTCCTATTATGCCTCACTGTATCAGCTTGACAGTGACAACGCCACACATCAACCCACGGACAGAGACCTACAAACCTTTTTCCACGATACTACCCTACCAACACTCACCCAGGAACAAAAAACATCATTAGAGAGACCGTTCACAAACGAAGAAATTCTCTCCACGATAAAAACACTGCCAAAACACAAAGCACCGGGCCCAGATGGACTAACAAACTGCTACTATCATAAATTTGGCGATACCCTGGCCCCACACATCACCAAACTCTTCAACCATATAAAAGACACAGGAGAAATCCCACCAGAAATGCTAGAAGCCCACATAGTAACTCTCCCCAAACCCAATAAATCGCCTACAATGTGTGCCAACCTCAGACCCATCTCGCTACTGAATGCCGATACAAAACTCTATGCTAAGTTGTTGGCAAACAGAATGAAACCACTCCTTTCCAAACTAGTTTCGAGGGAGCAAGCAGGGTTCGTGCCCGGTAGACAGGTGGGTGACAATACAAGACACTTTATCAACTTAGTTGAATGGGCACACTCATCGAATCAGCAAGGCGTCCTCTTGGCACTCGACGCAGAAAAAGCGTTCGACCGACTAAATTGGAAATACATGAGAAAAACTCTCGAAGTGCAGGGATTTCCCCGGCCCTTTATAACTAGTATCCTAGCCTTATACAGCTGCCCTTCGGCAAGAGTCCATAATACGGGCTTCCTCGCCAAACCCTTCCATATTCGGAATGGCACACGCCAGGGTTGCCCATTGTCCCCACTCATCTTCATCCTGTGTCTAGAGCCCCTCATTTATCACATTAAACGTGACCCACTAATCCCAGGACTAGACACCCCGGTGGGGGAACAAAAATTAGCCCTATTCGCAGACGATATTCTAGTATTCCTGACAGACCCGATACATTCTATCCCAGTCCTTCTACAAACGCTGCACAAGTACGGCTCAGTGTCGTACTACAAAAACAACACTGCTAAAACCCAAGCTCTTCCCATCCGACTACCAAAGACCACGATTAAAAAACTAGAGGAAACACATACATTCGAATGGCGAGCTAAATCTATCCAGTACTTAGGTATCAAACTAACGAAATCTATAAACTCACTTACTACCGAGAACCATATACCTATGATTCACAAACTCACAGCCCAAATGAGCCAATGGGAAGGGTTAGAAATTTCATGGCTGGGACGCATCAACTCCATTAAAATGATGATTCTCCCCCACCTGCTTTATCTCTTCCGAACACTTCCCATTCCACTACCGACCAAATTACTAAAAAGATTCCAGAATATCATTAACGCCCACATATGGAAACGGAAGCCTCCCAGAATGGCCACCACCAAACTTAGCCTACCATTTGCGAAAGGCGGCTTAGGCGCTCCGGACATCCGTAATTACTACCGAGCATCTTTATTAGCACAGGGACTACGTTTACTTAGAACCCCAGACGCAGAACGAACCCCCCTATGGCTGGCTCTCGAGGATGCCTGCATGCTCCCAGTCACTCTAACTAATGCCCTCTGGACCCCCGAAACAAACCCCATAGGGCGCACCATGCTGTGGTGCACCAAAACCACTTTAAACACATGGAAACAATGGGCCTCAGTGGTCTTAGACACACAGACACTGTTCAGAGAAGCACCACTCACGACATTGCAGGCCAGTTCCCCCGACCTCCCCCTACAAACATGGTCGAACCTAGGGATCCGCACGATCCAGGACCTATATCATCAAAACACGCTAAAAACGTTCCCCACCCTACAAAGTGAATTCTCCCTGAGCCCCAGGGACCTATTCAAATTTCTAAGGGTCAAGCACATACTGCAATCTAGCACTAAGCCGACAACACCCGTAAAACGATCAGACACTCCCTCTACCAGGTACATTTTGACATCCCGCCATGTCAAACCCCTAGCCCTTTGCTATAATGCACTGGAACGAGAGAAAGCTGAACATAAACTTCCTTACATGGAAAAATGGGAAGGAGATCTAGGGACAACACTCACTTTGAAACAATGGCATGAGGCCTTTTACTTAACAAAACGGGCATCTAAAAACCTGTCTCTCTGGGAAGCATACTGCAAGATAGCAATGCGCTGGTATCTAGTTCCCTCACGACTGGCGAGAATGTACCCCAACTCCTCCCCGCTGTGCTGGAGATGTAACCGCACGGCAGGGTCGCTACTTCACATATTCTGGGACTGTCAGATCATTACCCCGTTTTGGACCTCAGTCCAATCACTTATACGCGAAACAACTAACCTAGCCATACCATTAGACCCTATACACTACCTGCTGCACATGCTCCCTACGAGCGACTCAGTACGACCTCCAGCGACCATGACTGCAATAAACATACTGACTATAGCCAAGATAGCGATAGCCTCTCAATGGAAGGCCATAATACCACCGACAATTGAGGAGGTAATAAAGAGAATGGACAACGTGTGTTTGTACGAGAGAATGGCGCACAACTTACTAGGTACATCGGAAAAACATGGGATCCAATGGTGCGGATGGATTAATATCCGTACATTGGACGATGCAGCTGAATGAGGCACTATGACACGATAATCACACGCCCCAGAGAAATAATAGGAGGATTACACCAGTTATACCAGTTACACCAGCTATAATACTTATACTACATTCTACATGTCACAAACCTTGCCACTAACAAGTCACACCACAAGGTCCGATAGCATAGGCGTGCGCACGGGGTGTGCCGGGTGTGCCTGGGCACACCCTAATCCCCGTGCGCACGCCTATGGTTTGAGTCCTGCAGGAACAGCGTTCCTGCACTTTTTTTGAGCAGGAACGCTGTTCCTGCAGGCACTCAGTGTCCCCTGTTTCACCTCTTGCCCCTGTCATGGAAGGGCAAGAGGTGATGATTCCCCCCCACCCTGCAGCTCAGCCGCGGCGAGGGAGCTCTCTGCTCTCTGCTTCCTCTCGCCGCGCGCTGATGCCGGGAGCCGGAATATGACGTAATATTCCGGCTCCCAGCTACAGCAGACAGCCCGCGCGGCGAGAGGAAGCAGAGAGCAGAGAGCGGCTGAGCTGGAGAAAGGCGCCCGCCCCCACTGGACCCCAGGAACAAGTCCACCAGCACTCCAGGTAGGAGGCTGGGTGGACATTTAAAAATTTTTTTTTTAAATATAATAATTTGTGTGTGTGTGTGTGTCAGTGTGTGTGTGAGTATGTGTCAGTGAGTGTGTGTGTCAGTGAGTGTCTGTGTGTGTGTCAGTGTGTGTCTGTGAGTGTGTGAGTGTGTGTCTGTGATTGTGTGTAAATGTGTGAGTATGTGTCTGTGAGTGTGTGTGTCAGTGAGTGTGTGAGTATGTGTGAGTGTGTGTCTGTGAGTGTGTGAGTGTGTCTGTGAGTGTGTCAGTGTGAGTGTGTGAGTATGTGTCTGTGAGTGTGTGTGTCAGTGAGTGTGTGAGTATGTGTCAGTGTGTGTCTGTAAGTGTGTGTGTGTGTCAGTGTGTGTCTGTAAGTGTGTGTCAGTGTGTGTGAGTGTGTCTGTGAATATATATATATATATATATATATATATATATATATATATATATATATATATATATACACACACACACACACACACACGCGGCGTACGTTTGTGCTTTAGGGTGCACACCCTAATGCAATAGGCTGCGCACGCCTATGTCCGATAGTAATACTAAACAGAGAAATTCAGGTACATGGTTATATTAGTAGAGTTACTGTTGAAAGTTACCCTTCCCTCAACCCTTTGTTCTCCTCCCTTTGTTCTCCTCCCTTGTACCCGGTTGCATGGTGTGATAGAAACTGAAGCCCATGTGGACATCAACGACAGATAGCACAAATGTCTATAGCTCCAGCCAAAAACAAAAACAAGCTGTCATACAAACGGAGTTAAAACATAACATCGGCGATGCATTTGTGCTGATGTCGACACTAACGTTACTATTCGCATTATCATATTAGATAAACTTCTATGTATAAGCTAATGAGGCCACATTTGATCAATGAGCCGTTATGACAGCAACAGTGTAAGGTATCGTATCGTATTGTATGTATTGTTGTGCAGTAATGTTACCGTTAGTACTGTATTAATAGTAATGCTGGCATTGCATCACTGTCATTGTCACTGCAATATTATCACAACATCGTCAATCCACTGAATAACTCTATCTCTGTATTTGTACCAACACTGTAAATGTTTTATTATTCCACGGTGCCATGCACTGGAGTACTACCAAAACCAATAAAAAATAAATATGGAAAAAAAAAAGACTAAAATAGACAAACTATGAGGTAGGATATTTTCCAAGTAAACTATGTTGGCCTGAATTAGCAACTCATTTAGTGGATAAACCCCACAGTTTTCAACATACAAAATCTAGGACCAAGCTGTTTCAGAGATCCATAAGAAATTCCTGCAATCTAAACCAGTTTTGGTATTCAACAAAAGCACAAACTAAGTAGCTAGTTTCTCGTGCACCATCTGCTGAAGTTTCAGTTTCAAATGTAATGATTTAGGATTAAATCTCTGCCCACAAAACTGTATCAATTAATTTCTGTATCTGCGTGCAGTGATTTTAAGGGAAAAATATATGATGTGACTTCATAACACATTAAAACATTAAACACCAAGGTGAATAACAACCACCTTAATGCAAGCATTTTACCCTTGCTCTCATTTCTAGAAAGTCTCTTGTTTTGTTCATCTATTCTAAAATATCAGAGTCGTAACTCCACCCCCTGGCTGCTGACATAATTTAAGAAAGCTTTGTTTTCTAATCTGACTAAGCAAATTCTGGAATTCAGATATGCTTTACTCTGGAATTCAGATATGCGGAAAGGTACAATCCACACAGGAACTTTCATCTTCTGTTTCGGAATGTAAGAATAATTCAAGATATTAATATTAAGTGTCTGACATAATGACATAACCAGGTGACCTAGCAAAGTTGTACACCTCTCTTTGTCAAGCCTCATTGCCATGGCACCTTTGTAGATGTTTGAAATAAGGCACATAATTTTAAAGACTATAATAAAGGTTTTTTGTTTTACACTACAAGGAGAGGTACAATAAGATATTCCCATGTTCTGGTAACTGCTGTCTGTGCATACATTTGAGTAACTAATCTATAGCACAATATTCTCATAGCACAGCAATGAGCAGCACTCTGGGCCTGGCAGGGAATAGTGCAGCGTGGTGTAAGCTCAGTTAGCAAAAAGGTTAAAAAAAAAAAAAATTTAAATAAAGAAAAAATAAAAAAAGGTAAAAAAGGTATTTTTTATATGTATATATTATGTACAAAGGTTATCATGTACAAATCAACAAGGAAAGATTGTATTATGCCACACGTATAATAATCTGCAAAATTGTCCAGTAAAGGTGGAAATTAATGAGTAGAGTGCGTAACACCAGAATTTGTTAACACTTACTGCACACACAATATGGTCTTTAATGTCAGCTATTGATTCAAAGAGACAGCTTCTGATAATGCCAACATAATGTATTTTTGTATGACTCACATGGACTGGTAGGAGTGCCAAGCTAAAAAGCTAACAATATCCAGGTGAAGAGTGGTTAAGCATTCAGAACCGGTTAGGGAATTAAATGTAAGCCAGATGATTAAAAAATCACTCTGGGATGGAGCTGTCCCAAACTTCCCTTTTTATATTGCACAAAACAATAAAATAAAATAAAGTAAAAAAAAAAAAAAATGTGATTACTGAAGTGTTATTTAGTACGAGACTTTCTATTAAATGCTTAACTGTGTGTGGTTGGCCTGGCGCTATGTATTCACTTTCACTCAAATAGTTGGTACATTTATTAATGTTTTCTCAATTTGGCTTGATGTGTAACCTATAGCCCCAGGTACTCTACATATGCTCAATCATCATCATTCTTCCACAACAAAAAAAAAAATTACATTTACCAGCATGTTATACAAAGATCCCACTGGGCAAAAGTAGGGGACTGGCGAACTATGTCCAATATTGGGCATTGCAGAAACATTGTTTTGATGGCACCACAACAAAGCATTATGTTATGTAGTCATTAATAAAAATGTCTGCGCAAATTCTACAGATGTGGAGGTAATTCTGTCGCCTTCCATAGAGATATAAATCAGAGCTATTCACATATTCTGTTCCTTTCATAAAATCCTAAGTGTTAAAATAACTATCCAAATCCAGCAAACACGGTAATTTTTTTTACCTTTAAAATAACACTGGGTACACTAAAGAGGTTTTGACAAATTTCTTGTTTTCAGTTTAAAGGATTCTCATATTTTATTTCAACAATCTTGGAATAAGTATTAACGTCACAATATTGGAGTGTGAGGGGGGCAGTAAAGGTTATGCAATTGATACTGTGTAATAAATGACATTGTGGGGGAGGAAGGCATGTGCAAAAATTGGGAAAGTTGTGTGAACTTATGTATGCAAGGCTGGCTAGCCCCACTCAGTGGAGCCCATGCATTTCTTACTTAAACCCTACGAATATCAAAGGTCTTCATATTTGGCATAATCACAATCAACATGATGAGAACAATGCAATCCAATGCTTCAACAGAAGCATCAGATTGGTTGAGCTTGTGTAATGTAGATCCATAATGATTCTATGAAAAGTACTGAATTGGAACAAGATTATCAAGGATGATGATCTCAGAGGATGCAAAGTGGCTGCGGAGAATAGTACAGCGCTAAATAAAAAGGTAAGGTTTACTAGTTGCTTTTTTCTTTTTAATTTTTAGGGTAGAATCCATAATATAATGCAGGGGGATGCAACATTCTAGCAGAACTGTGCTAATGCAAAACTTTGAAGTCCCTTGGCATTAGGGTACTATTTTTTTTAAATTACAGAGTATCTTTTTTAGGTATTCTGCTTGTGTTATGTATGGGTGCTGTAAATGCTTTGCAGAGTTTTATATGTATAGATGTGTTCGATGTTATAGTGTGTAGGTGCACATGTAGTTTGTGGTATTGTGTGTGATATATGTATGTGGACTGTGCATTATATTGTGTGTGTAAATGTTAACTTTGTATTGGGAGGTCTGCTTGTGGAATTGTGTATGTGTAGGAGGCTGCTTGGGTGATTGTGTGGAATGTCAGTGGTGCTGTGTTTCTGGGGGTTGTATGAGGGCTGTTTGTATTTGCACGTGTAAGAGGCATCTTCTGCAGCAGTGTGGGAGGCTTTCCTAGAGTCCTGTGGGGGCTGGCCAGGTACATATTAAAGGCAGGGACTGTTGTGGGTTGCTCTCCTCCAGTGCCGATTCCCCTTCACATCTGAGATTACTTTATTCAAGTGCTGCAATTAGTAAATTGAGACCTACTCCTCACCACCAGCTGCAATCACTGCAAATCCCAATTTGTTGTGTTATTTTTATTTGTTTTAATAACCTTACATTGCTCTTAAAAAAACGAAACAAAAAAAAAACAATCTTAAAAGAAACATTGTTTTTTTCCTTTTTTATTAAAAAGACGACTCATTTCTTTTATCACCAAATAAACAAAATAAAAGTAATTTGATGAGAATATTGCTGCAAAGTCAAATTATCCATCATTCCCTCATGAGCACAAATGGAATAATTTGTAACTCATACACAACAGGGGAAGAGACAAGAACATTGAAGGGTCCCACTGCATATATTACGTGCCTGCGTAAATGGTTTCTCAGTGAATTGAAGCTCTTGTCTATTCACTACCAATGTTCAATTCTAAATGCGGGCAGGACATTTATCGGTCAGTCTGCACTGCATTTGTACAACTAATACAGGAATGCACTGAAACAAAGTGCATATAGCTGTGAGGATATTTATGGGGTGATAAAACATGTGCATAAAATCAAATTAAATGTGCACAAAGAAGCACTGTTACGCCGAACTTACCTTTCTTTAATCGATTCGATTTCTCTCTCAGGATAGGTTCTTCATTTCTACCTGTCTGCTGTAGTTTTCTTTAAAACACAAGACGAAGTAGGCACTATTTGTCTTATGGAGGTTTCTGACCAGCGGAGGAGCAAAGTGTGCTTCATTTCCAGTGGTCAGAGAAATGTTCCCATAATTCTCACCTTTCTTACGTGTTCCCGCGATGCTTCCTTTCACTTTTCCCTGAACGTCCTGTCACTTAAGACGCAATTCAGTAGTTTTGCCGGCGGTCTAACATAATGAGAACAGTTTCTCCATTCATGTTAGGACACATTTCAGGACTTTGTTCGTATCAGAATTTCATTCAAATGAAATTCCGATCCTATTCGTGCCGTGTGCCCCTAAGCCCCCCAATCAAAAATTAATAAGCCCCTACCTACCCCCTCACCCTAAAAATAGTGAGGGGGGATAATAGTAGAAGTACTCGTAAAAAATAAAATAAAACTTACCAGATAAAAACTATAACCACCAAACGTGTGTGTGTGTGCGTGTGTATATATATATATATATATATATATATATATATATATATATATATATATATATATATTAAAAAAAAAGCAGCCGAAAAAGAAAAAAGCAAAGGCAAAAAAAAAAAAATCCATCTTCACCCATGGAGGGCATGGCGCAGACTGAGCTCCGTAGGGTGGGGACAGGCTTATAAAGCCTTCCCACACCCTGCAATTAGGCTGAGAG